AGGTTCTATCTATATTCCTGCACTTAACTGTGTGTGTATGTGCATGTGTGGTGTTAGTGGGGCCTTAAGAGCTGATTTAAGGTATTTCTGCCCCTTGCACGCATATTTGTTTCATGCTTAAGATTTATTGGCTTGAAATAGACTAGAGACTATGGCCTCTCCCCCCCCCCCCCGTTTTAAAGTATATTGAGCAGCTCTAGGTTTAGCATTGTATAAAGCATGCCAGCACCTTTCTTCACATTTTAATAATCAGAAGGCTTAAGGTGACTAAAATTGAATATTGAAAGCTATCTTTTATGTCTTATGACTAACTTTTTATATTTAGCTAAATTATTTTTCCGGTAATTAAGTTTATTTTTATATATACTGCTTTCTATGTTTGCTTGGAATCTTAGCCAGAAGACTTAATAGGATTGATCTAGATGAAGTGTAATTGTTTGTAACAAATTGAAACAACTGTGGAGTTTGAAAATCCCTGGCAGTTTTGGGACAGTAAATGACTGAACTATAAGAGGTGAGGTGATTCCTGACACAATGTTAATAATATGAAATGTACTTTGACAACTAATTAGTTTCTTTGGACAATGATACTAAGCTGTTACATCACATGGGGAGTCAAATGCCCATGCAGTGTCATAAAGATAATTTAGTCATCTTAACTTGAGAAATTGATAATTTGACTAATTTTGAAAATACTTTATTAATTTGAAATTCTGTGCCCTGAAGATCCTTAGCTGTGTATTTGAATTTGCATGTGATTGGGATATTTAACATGAGTTTGTAGCTGTGTTCATCACCCCAGAAAGAACTACTGTGCCTGTGTGCAGTCACTGTCTGTTCCCCTAGATTGTTCAGCTCTAGGCAACCATTAATCTACTTTTAAAAAAAATATTTTTAATTTATCTTTTTAATGTATTTAGTACAGGGTCAATGGGGTCTCACTACACAGATCGGACTCATAGTGATTCTTCTATTTTGAGCCCCTGGGATTACAGGCAGGTGCTGCCATGCCCAGTCTCAATTGCCCTTTTGGGGTGCCCTGGGGGTGGGGCCAGCACAGCACCCTGGAGATTGAACTCAGGTCCCAGCTTCTGCCCAAACAGGCACTTTAATCCCCTGAGCTATCTGGTTGGCCCCCATTAATCTACTTTGTGTACTGTAGATTTGCTTTTTCAGGACATTTCACAGATGTGGAATCATGTAATGTATTTTGTGACAGGATTCTTTGATTTAACAATGTTTTTAAGGCTTACCACATCACACTTTGTGTTAGTAATTTCTTTTTTTAATGACTGAGGAATATGCTATTGTATGGATAATAGCATTTTGTTTTATCCACTTTTGTTAATGGGTGTTTGGGGTGTCCCACCTTTTGTCTGTTAGATATAGTGTTACAAAAGTTTGGTACGAGTTTTGTGTGGATTTTTTCACCTCTTTAGGGCGTAGCCTGCGGAAGAGATGGCTGGGTCCTTGTACAAGGGCACTTTGCCTCAAGGCCCAGGGAGTGTGATGCAGTCTTTGTTCTGAAAATCTTACTCACAGGTTTTCCAGCAGTGCAGTAAGGAGGTAGGAAAGATAAAAGAAGCTTTTACTAACTCCAAAGACATAGAGAGGAGCAGGGCAGATGGGGCAGGCAAATCCTCTGGCCTGAGACACAGAAAGCTGTGGCTTTGTGAACTTTTGCTAGGGGTGCAGTTTGAAGGGGATGTTTAGAAATATCTGAGGAGCTGATTGGGATCTTTCCTTTGGTGGTGGGAAAGATGAAAGGATATTGCACCCTGGGCTGGATTGGAGAAGAAGAGGGAAGGTGGTCTCTGGGAAGATCAGCTGTTGTTGTAAGGCCATATTAGATGACCATGGTAATAATTCAGTTCATACTAGAGCCAGAACCTGTTACTTACATTGTAGGACAGAGGTCCAGTGTGTGCTGCTGATCTGCTGTTCTCAGAGGGCGTACACTAAGGAAGAGCTGCTTTTCCTTCATTACCAGGAGAGGTTGATGTAGTCTTTTATTAAGGATGGACTTTAAAGAAGTTTTAAAATGTTATCTTTCACCCCTCATTGTCAGAGAACAAAGTGGTTGAACTCGTAGTATCTGTAAAACACTAGTTGTTACAGTTCAGGCTAACATTTGTTTTTATTCATTCTTTTATTTCATACAGGGTCTAGCTACGCAGACTTGTAATGATCCTCCTGTTTCAGCCTCCCCAGTGCTAGAATTATAGGTGTGCACCACCATGCCCGGTTTTGGGGCTGGCATGGTGTGCCCAGGGTTCCAGGCCAGCACGATACGTGGTACTGGACGTCGAACTCTGGTCCTTATGCTTGACCAGGCAGCTGCTTAGGCCCCACAGCTATCTCCCCAGCTCTGAGCTAACATTTGTTTTCCAATTTCACCTTGGTAATAACTTGTAATAGCATCTGCTGTTTAAACTGTTGGAAAGAGTGAAACCCAGAGATTAAGTAACCTGCATCAGCTGAGAACAGTTAGGTGTGGTGTAGGGGTGGAGTGGGGAGAAGAGATTGCGCACCATGCAGCTGCCTGCCCCAATGTTCACTGACCCTCTTAGAGGATGTGTGAGGCATGGAACTTTGATTTAGTACGTAGTAGTGGGAAATGGCTCTTTTATGGGATGTTATAATTTACATAGATTTATTCTTTAAATTGCAGAAGAATAAAAGCTTTTATAAAGTGCTCAATAAATGGTTTCAAAGGAGCTTTACTTTAGACCCGTTTCATTTTGCTAAGGCACATTACTGCATATGCAGTACTGTTGTCCCATAGCTTATGTGGCTTTGACTTTTTTTTTTTTTAATGATTAAACTTTTTTTTTTTTTTTGCAAAACCAGGGATTGAACTCAGGCCCTTGTGCTTGCCAGGCAAGCACTTATTCTACTGAGCCATCTCCCCGGCCTAAAATAATCTGACTGCTTTTTTTTTTTTTTTTTTTGGCCAGGCAAGCCTTTACTCCATTGAGCTATCTCCCCAGCCCCGGCTTTGACTTTTAATAAACTAAACTGGGTACATATGAAGTTTACCTTTTCTAGTAGAAGTATATCATACGTTACATTTTAAATGATGGGCGTTTAATTTTTTTTTTTTTTTTTTGCATTCATATGTATTCTAACAGTAGTTGTTGAACCTCTGTTTTGAAATTGAATGTTACCCATTGAAGTGGACATTTCAGTTATGGGAAGCTGTATATTTTGGTGATTATATTTTTTTTCTTACACATATACAGAATGTGCTAGGTATGGTTTTTATGTTGTCATTTTGTATTTGATGATTTTCTCCATGGAACCGTATCTCTTTATTTGTATACTGCTGTCCTCCATTTACTATGACACCCACCCCCAAAAGAGGTGTTTACATTATCACACTATCTCCTTTGTTACAGAGTGCTCTTAGATACATTATTTTGTATTGGTACACGTTACAGGGTGCCATTTGCGTATAGGTTGTCCTACCTGATTTTGGTTGCTTATATAAGTCATTTAAAGGAGTCAGTTTTGGGGGGATGCCCACAGACACAAAGAAATTAACATAGTTAATAATTATTCCTAAGGCTCTATAATCCTAAGTAGCGTGTGTTGAGAGCAGGCTTTTGCTGTTCCCTTCAAGAGGGGAAGTGCGGCTGTCTTGGGGTGTGGGACGTGGCCCCAGGGACTCAGCTGCCTTCTAGTGGGGCTCCCTCCTGCGCAGGAGATCACAGGCCCCAGGATTTGGCCAGTGCTTCTGTTAATTTTTTCTCTTGTTGTTTAGAGAATTTGTACATTTTAAAATTCTTATTCTGTAATTTAGGAGTGATCTGAGAAGATAGCCACTTTGTGTTCAGTGCATATATTTAATAGGAGAGCCAGCATTTCTCTTAATTTTGTGTTATTTTTTCACTCTTCAGTGTTTTAAAAAAATTCTTATCAAAAAATAAAAATAAAGGGGCCGGGGGTTGGTTTAGTGGGATAAGCGCTTCCCTGGCAAGCACAAGGGCCTAAGTTCAATCCCTGGTTCCGCCAAAAAAAAAAAAATTCTTACCAAATATAATATAGATTTTTTTTCCTATTTTATTTTTTGGTACCAAGAATGAAACTTGTGACCTTACGCTTGCTGGGCATGTGCTCATGCCCCTGAGCTATCTCCTTGGCCCTCCCCTTTTAGGTTTTCTGGCAGATTTAGGATCTGGTAATTTGGTAGATTGAAGGAGTTACGCTTGGTCTAAACTGTAGTATTTTATTTATTTAGTTTTTATGTATTCGGTACAGGGAGTCACTGCGCAGCTCGGACTCAGTGATCTTCCTGTTGTCAGCTTCTCCAGTGCTGGGATTACAGGCATGTGCCACCACACTCTGGCCTTGATGGCTGGCTAACCCCCTGCTCCCCCTGGGGTGGGGCTGGCAATTGGGCCTCAGTCGCTGTGCTTGCCTAACGAGGCCCTTAGTCCACTGGGCTATCTCGATGCTCCTAAGCTGTAGTATGTTAATTGGATGGAATATTGTTCACCTATTAAAAATGGGCTAGATGTAGAATATAGAAGTGCAGTTTTGAGATAGTGAACAATAGTGATATGTTGCTGCCAGTCCAGAAATTCTACAGGTGACGGGTAGTAGAAGTTATTTTCAAAAAGTAGACAAATTTTGTTTTTGTTTTGGTATCAGGCATCAAACTCAGGACCTTGCACTTGCCAGGCAGGGGCTGGGCCACTGAGCTATTTCCCCAGACCAAACAAAAGTTTTTTCCTACTGTGAATCTCAAAACCTGCTTTGGCAGTTGAATCATGGGTGAAGTCATATGGATTATTTGGGATTAATTTGTGTAGAAACTGGTATACACAGGGTAAGCCCTTCTTAGAAGTACAACTTAGAAGTTGTGTTTTAATAGTTGTGCTGTAACGAGCTCTGGCTTGTTCTGCTTTGAGGCACATAGATGTACCAGAGGTGCCTTCTTAGCTCTTGTATTTAATAATCCGCTTTCTTCATGGATGTTGATGTAACCTCTTCCGCAGATAAACAGGGGTCACATGACGACAGAAGCCAAGAGGGCGGCAAAGATGGAAAAGAAGATGAAAATTTTGCTTGGGGGCTACCAGTCGCGTGCCATGGGGCTCATGAAGCAGCTGAATGATCTGTGGGACCAGATTGAGCAGGCGCACTTGGAGCTGCGCACTTTTGAAGAACTCAAGAAACATGAAGATTCTGCCATTCCCCGGAGGCTGGAGGTAACATGGAGTTTTTCTCTGCAGCCTGGTTTAGCAGAAGAGCTGTTGGAAGCACGGCACTCCCTGGTCCCTCACAGACCATCTCAGCAGGGGATCTGGCAGGCCTTTTCCACGTGTGTCTTGGGTCGACCAGATGATGGTCACAGGCCTTCCAGTACCCGTTTTCATACTGTTTCAAGATACAGTGGTGGGGTAGAGTTGGCAGCTCTTGTCGTTTGTCCCCCTGGAGCCTAATTTCATCCCATTCATGTCTCTTTTTAAGGGACACCAAAGCAGTGTCCTTTGTGTGATAACTTAGGGTGCAAGAGCCTCTGCCTGGTTACAGGTGGTCAGCACTTAGGGATAGTGATGGGACAGGAGTGGCAGCAGAGGTTTTACAAGGAAGTAACGTAGGACCAGAGCAGAGAGGGGCTGCAGGACTGTATCACAGCAGGAGTGCTCTGTTTTCTCTGGGGAATATCTGTCTCTTAAGAATTATGAATGAGTGCAGCTCTTTCAAAGAAGATGCAGTAATTTTTAGTATACTTACCTATGAACTAATCCTTGAATGTTCCTATCTCTTCTAGTGTCTAAAAGAAGATGTGCAGAGACAGCAGGAAAGAGAGAAGGAGCTTCAGCAGAGATATGCTGATTTACTGCTGGAGAAGGAGACCCTAGAGTCAAAGTTCTGAAATGCAGCGTCCATCCTGTCACAGGCAAATGAGCTGCTGGGTTTCCTCATGTGGCAGACACTGATGGTTATCTTTGTGACAAATTGACTCACTGTGGTTTTGGGTTTGATTTTAAATGGTCTTGATCATACATACCCTGTGTTAAATGACATCTAACTCCAAAGGACAGATGAGGTTTAAATTATTAAGATGATCATTTTTTTCACTAGTGTCATATTTCCAAGATTTTTTTTTTTAGTTTTGGTCTTTAATTTAAAAAGTCTGACTCTAAAGTAGTGCCTGTGAGTAAACCCTTGAATAAAAACAGAATGTAACAAGTATGAACATAGCTTTCTGTTTGTAGATGCTCAGAGTGCCCGCAAATCAGGCTCTGTGTGCTCTGTGGCTTCGTGAGTCACTCTGGGGTGACTGCGGGGTGACCGTGTCTAGTGGCTCCTGTGGCTTCAGCACAGAGCAGCCTTCTCTCTGCACTGCCAGGATAGCCTTCGGGTTTGTCTTTAGTATTGCTTTAGGAAGGGTTTATTCTCTTCTGGCTACTTACACAGTTCATGGATTATAACATAAGAGATTTAATTTTTCTTGTTATTTTCTTGTGAGCACTTTTTTGACCAAGCCAATTGGAAGTTTTTTCAACAAGGTCATCAGATTTCTTTAACAAGGACAGAAATTGAAGAATGAATAGAAGTAGGGGAAAAAAGATGATGTGGAGAAATTAGTTTTATATAAAAATTCCTGTAAAAGGGAATTTAGTGTCCTGTCAGCTGCTTCCAAGCTCATAATGGGCTGATGATGTGTTGGATTCACCAAAAAAGCTTGACTGGTTTCAAAATATTAGAGACTACGGGGGGGAGAGGAGGGGTTAACTCATTCCCTGGTTTATCTATTTAATAAACAGGTATTTATTGAATGGATATACCCTTTGCCAGATTCTTAGAGATGGACAGTGAATCAAGTAGGCTTGCTTCCTGCTTTGAGGGATTCATAGTCTGTTGGAATGAGTGTTGGAGATGATGTTCATTAAGATGGAGCCCTGTGAGAGCCTTCAAAGCAGAGGACTGCAGCATCCAGTTTGTTCTAGCAATTTCTCCTGCATTTTCTAGGACATTCACTGGTATCTTCTGGTATTTTATTTTTTAATTTTCTCAATTTTGTTTTCATATTTTTTTTTTTTTTTTAAGTGTTTAGTACACGGTGTCACTACACAGATTGGACTCCTAGTGATCCTCCTGTTTTCAGCCACTCAGGCACTGGGATTATGGGTGTGTGCCACCACGCCCAGTCCCGGTTGCCATCTCAGTGTGCCCTTGGGGCAGGGCTGGCAGTTCACACCAGGGATTGAGCCCCACTCCCTGCGCCTGCCTAAGCAGGCACTTTTGTCCGCTGAGCTATCTGGTGGGCCCCTAATATTTCTTTTAATAGTTGTATTTTCACTGCATGTTTTGTTGGCCTGTGTTTGGTACCATGTTAGATAACACTGATGGTAGATCTTGTTTTGTGGTTTTAATTGGAATGTCCATTGTGTTTTACTTTTAAATTGACAATTTCGAGTTATCTAGAAAGGTGTATTGTATCTTTTTAGTTTTTACAGAGTTTGGATTAGAGATGGCTCTGGGATCTTGTCAAGCACTCCTTTGGGACATCTGCTGGGCTTTTCCTGGTTGGTGTGGTGGTGACTCACAGTAATAGATTTTTTGATATTAAGCCATCTCTACTTGTGGAACTAGTTATATTCATTTTTTAAAGAAAAGTACCAATTTTTTTTTGCATTTTATATAAACTTACATAGGCTTAAAATAGTTGATCTAATAATAAATCTGTGTTGTTCTCAAAATTTGAAAAAAATAATGTGCATAGTATATCTAAAGAAATTCACCAAAATTTTAGCTTTAAAAGTGGAGTCTCAATGCATCATAAACTGCTTATGCTTTTGTCACACCGTAGCACCACTGTCCCTGCAGACAGATGCCACCCATCCTTTGTGTGTCCTGCAGAGCCGTGCACCTCGTCAGCACCCGCCCGGCCTGTGTGGGGACTGCTGAGCCCTCCTGGGAGGTGCTCCATACACGAGGCATTCCGTGCACGGCGGCGCTGGTTCTGAAAGCTGCATTCAAGTCTCAGTGACTTAGATTGGAAAGTGAACCTGATCAAGAGAAACTGGACATAGTGCTGAAATTCTAATGAATAAAGTTAAAGAAAAAATACATTGCAGTGGCTCTGGATTTGAGCTGCCCAGCGCCCCTTCCCAGGAGTCACGAGTCCGTGAACGTGACCTCCGGCTGGTGTTGCAGGATTTGGCTTGTCTGTCTTAATGTTATGTAGAAGTTTACATTTTCATATGAGTGGAGCCGTCTTTCCGGCTATTGTACAAATTGTAACATTGGGATTTTGCAAGCTCCACAAAGTAAATGGAATGACTGTGTATTTTTCTGTACACTAAGCAGTTATTGTAAGGGGGCTGGTTTGTTCCATGAAAGACTGAAAGGTTGTGCTTGTAAAACTTTCAGGTTTAGAGCTCTGTTTGGAAATGATTTGATAATTATCAACTTCTTTCATGACTTACCCATTTTTAAACTTTAAGATTTTGTTTTAAAATGTGTTTCTCATTTTATTATTTACTAAATTTAAGTATGTAATTTGTATTCTAGTATTTTTATCTTGTTGAAATTTAATTTTCATAGAAAATTGTAGTAAAAATTTTCAGTTAAATTTTCCATATTTGAAACTTACTTTGTTCTAGCTCTACCATTTTTTATTTTTTGATTACTCTTGTTAAAAGTTCTTCCCACCAGAAAACTAGTATCTTACCAATTATGATTCTTTTTGTGTGATTTAAAATAATAATCTTTACTTTCTTTGTGTGTGTGTATTTAGTACAGAGTCTACAGGGTCTCACTACACAGTTTGGACTCTGTAGTGATCCTCCTGTTTTCAGTTTCCTCAGCGCTAGGATTCCAGGCGTGAGCCACCATGCCGAGTCTTAGTCGCAGCCGCACCCCAGGGGCGGGGGCGGCACTTGGCATGGTATTTATCCCCTGACCCCGGGCCCCATGCAGACGCTTTAATCTGCTGAGCTATCTTCTGGCTGGCCCTATAGTTATTTTCTTTAGATTTTTTTCTCTCACTTTTGAGTGTGATTGCATATTTTCCATTTATATGCAAATGACTATTGAAGGCTTTTTAGTTACCTTTAAGCTAAAAATGTTGGCATCTCAGTTCTTTTGATGTATGGTGTCTTTGTTTTCTAAGTTTTTCATTATCTTTAACATTTTAGTTCAATAATTTAAGAATATTTGAAAATTTTCTGGGCCTGGGGAGATAGCTCAGAGATTTAAGTGCCTGCCTGGCAAGTGCAAGGTGGAGTTCTATGCCCAGACCAAAGAAACAAAAAGTTCTCTATGGTTTGGTTTTAAAACAGGTTTTTTCCCCCCTTTTTGCTGCTGAGCGTGGTGATGCTCTTATCTATAATCCCAGCACTTGGGAGGCTGAGGCAGGGGGATCACTGTGAGTTTGAGGCCAGCCTGGGCTACATAAGAGAGTTCAAGGCCAGCCTGGACTACATAGCAGGACCCTATCTTAATTTTTTTTTTTCCTACTTGTAGGATTTTTAGGTTGTGGAGAGAAAATGCAATTTATATAATTTTTATTTTTTAGAATTTGTTGAGATTTTGGGGGCTTAACATCTTTGTTTTTTCTTTTTTGGGGGGGAAGGTGTTTTGAAACAGGGTCTTGCTCCATGGTCCAGGATCGTGTTGAATTCTCAGTGATCCTCCTGCCCCAGCCTCCCTAGTGGTGGGATTACAGGCATGTGCCACGATGCCTGGCGGAACCTAGCATCTATAAAATGTGTTCCGTGGGTGTTTAAAACTTAAGTTAATTCAATTTGTACATGGCAGATGTGAATGTGTATTTATCAACTGATTGAATTACGTTGTGCAAATTTAATTGTTTTGGTTATAAACTCTATAGAATAGTGTTATTTTAAATTGTTACAGTTGTCTCTCTTATTTCATTTGTGTGGAGCCTTGGCATTGTCTACCTTGGTGCTGTTACGTACTGTATAATGCATCTGTCTGCACAGTTCGTGAGGAAGACTACTCCGAAGTCGCGTTTGCTTTTGTGGTACTGGGGGTTCAACCAGGGCCCCCCCCCCCCCTTGGTGAGTCGCCCAGGGTGGCCTCGGTCTGGAAGTGTAGTCCTCCTGCCTCAGTTTTTGTGTAGCAGCTTTTGGATGGCATGCATGTGCCACTGTGCCTGGCATGTATCTTGGATTTTTTTTTTTTTTTTTTAATTTAATGTATTCGGTACAGAGTCTCACTCTGCAGCTTGGACTTGTAGTGACCCTCCTGTTTTCAGCCTCCCCAGAGCTGGCATTACAAGGGTGTGCCACCACACCTGGTCTCGGTGGCTGGCTAAATGCACCTGGGGGTGGGGCCAGCCTGGCATGAGGATCAAACCCCGTCCCTGTGCTTGCCTAAGCAGGTGCTTAGTTTGCTGAGCTATCTTGCCAACCTGTTGGATTTTATATTTCTGTACATTTAGAGAGTCTTATATCTTAATGGTCTACTCCATTGAGTTTTGTAATTTCTGACTAGTTTACTGTGATCATGCCATATTCGCAGGTCTTCTGGTGCTGTGGCACGAGTTGGGTCCTTGAGTTCCCACCGCAGCACTGTTGAGGGATGAGACCCAAAGAGGAGCTCAGGCTGCCCTCAGAGTACACTGGTTGTTAGCAAGAGAGCAGGTGTGGTGGCCGGAGAGGTTGGGGCCCTCGTCCTGCCCCTTGCCCTCCATCTACGCCATGGGGTGACCAGCATGAATGCCCTTAGCAGATGTGGGCCTTGGACTTCCTGGCCTCCAAAACTAGGGAATAAATTCCCGTTCTTTATAATTTATCTCTTGTTGGGGGTTGTGTTAGAGCAGCACAAAGCAGGTCAAAGGCTGATTTTGGAGTGGACCATGGATTTTGATTGCCATTGTTTTTTTTTTTTTTTTTTTTTTTTTTTTTTTGCAATTTTGTGGTTTTGTAGCAGTTTTGTGATTTGGTGACTTCGGAGTTGCCATTGTTTTACAAAATCAGTGTCAAGGCTCAGATTTTCCTAACCTGAAAGAATGCGGCAGTTGTTTGCACTGATTTTAATCCTAGTAATAGCTTCTGTGTGCCCAGGCAGGGTCTGCTTCATGTGTCTCTGGGAGCCCTAGGATGTGCACCGTGTCTCACTCAGACTGTGTTCATCGAGCTGTGGTCCCTGGTGCCTGGCTGGCTTGGGCTCCGTCCGCTTCATCTGTCTGCCTGGCCTCCTGGTTTCGTCAGAAGTGTTTCCTTGGTGCCTCATCCTTCATTATCCTGCATCATTTCTTTGTGTCTCCTTTATTCCACATTGCTGTCAGATACAAGGCCAAGGAAGGGTATTCAGAAAGTAGTATTCCTCTTAAAGATTTCATTTTCATCAGGAATGTATTTTATAATGTCAGATTCTGGGAAGACAGTGACAGCTAGTGTGTCTTGGGGAGTTTGGATTTTCCTTGTTAGGGATTTCTTGGGTTTGTTTTTACTCTTCATAAAAATAGCAACCGAAAGCCCTTGGATAACATTGAAGCATAAGTGGGTGACAGGATGCCCCATGAATTCCAGAATGTGAAGAGGGGGGCTAAGCCGCCAGCAGGCACAAGACCTGTGTGTTACTGGCACGTGCAGGGAAGCAGAGGGAGGTGGTGTTGGCGGCACTGAAGTAGCCCGCAGCCCTTGGGGGGTGGGCCCACTTGAGAGCGGGGGTGGGCCCACTTGAGAGCGGGGGTGGGCGTGTGTGGCCCACTCCCAAAGTGGACGAGTGAAGGGAGCAAGTGTTGGGAGACAAGTTAGCAGCCTCCCTTAGTGGGTTAACATCCTTCTGTATAAAGAAAAAGAAAGAAAATACTCAAATGTCTAGGTCTGTCTCAGTGTTACTTTTTTTTCTTAGAAAAAACTAACTTGGTAAAGGGTGGGTATTGAAAGCCATTAACATGTTTGCTCGCTGTGTGGAACTGTGGGGTTCACTGTGTCACTGTTGACTTGAAGCGGGGCTGACCCAAACTGAGATGTGCTGTGAGCTGTAACATACTGGAGTTTGAAGACAACATAGATTGAAAAAGTGTAAATAGCTTGTTTTTTAATGTTGCTTAATGTTCAAATGAGTATTTTGGGTGTATGGCTAAATAAAAATATTAAAGTGATTTCACTTGTTTCCTTTTACCTTTGTGACTAGTGGAAAACAATTTCTATTGCTGATGTGGCTTGAGTTCTGTTTTTGTTGTGTACTGCTGTTGTGATTTTCTGATTTCTAATTCTACCACGGCTGGGGAATACACTTTAGATGATTCAGTCCTTTTAAATGTATTGAACCTTTGTTTTATGGTCCTGCATATGGCTGTCTTGGCCACTCTTGTTGTCCACCTGAAAGGTAGGGTGTCCTGCAGGCTGTCGCCTTCTCTCTGTGCCAGCAGGGTCAGCTTGCCTGGGAGCAGTCAGGTCTCTCTGTTCTGTATGGTTGTGTTCTGTGTGGGTGTGAAGTCTGGTGAGCTGCCCCTGGCTGCAGAGCCTGTGTTTCAGCCTCTCAGGCTCCACTTTGTCTGTTAGGAGCGCTGTCATCGTCCTATGCATTAAAGGTGATGGTGGGGCCTGGGGTCACCCAGTGAAGAGCTATGGAGAGAGCTTGGCTTGGGGAAAGGCAGCATCCTAGCCATGAGCGGTGCGGGCACTCAGGTGGCCCCTGGGAGCTGTCGCTCCTCGTGCGTGTGTGTGGTGGAGCCACAGACAGGGTGATCCTTTCCCCAGTCACCTATTCAGTTCCACTTCTCCCAGTGTTTTGATGGTAACCAGGCTCCGGGCATGGCTGCATAGGGGCCACACCTCTTCCTAGTTCTTTGTCTCCCGGGCAGGGATCTCCTGGGCTCAGCACACAATGCCCGCAGCGCCATCTCGTGGTTAGGTGAGGAGTTGCTGTTAGCCACTGGAGGAAGGCTTTTCAATGTTCAAATCTGAGGAGTAAAGCATGTTCATTCTCCAGTGTCACCACTGTTTGCAAGCAAAATAGCTTTACTGAAAATTCCATTTTGAACTAGATGAATTCAAAATATTAGAGGTGCCAGATATCTAGTAGATAATAAAGGCAATGACTTGTAAGATGGTAAAGCCACAAATATGTAGGAGGCCAAACCTAAGGCAGACAGGTGCTTGCTGAGAAAGGGATGAGCGTCACGCCTGGAGCTCGCGTGGGTCTCAACAGGCTGAGTCCGTAGAGGCTGCGGCTTGGACCTGGGGACAGCTGCAGCCCTGGCCTCTGTGGTGGGTGTGAAGGACTACAACTTGGCCTGAGTCTGGAGCTGTTGACAGCTTTGGGACATGTGTGTGGCTTCCTGTGGTAAAGACTTGCCCTCACAGGCATACCTGCCAGCCTGTGGTTCGGGCCATGGCTACTGGGGTCATGACACATGGCATCACCCCCAGAGGAGCTGCCAGCGAGCCTCAGGGTATCCCCTGATGGGGCGGCTGATTCTGCAGGGTGGTGTGTGGCTGTCGCCCCTGGTGATGCAGACATCGTGGCTGGCCCCCTGGGCCTGCTGAGCCTGTTGAAAAATCTGGCCTGGTGTGAAGTTCTGCTGGAGGCCAGGGGATAGGGGGAGGCGAGGAGACCAGAGGCAGCAACAGCAGCAGCAACACGACCAGCGGAGCCAGTACCACCGCCCTGGGACGGGAACCTGTGCTGGACATGATTCCCTTGTGTGTGTGTGTGTGTGTGTGTGTGTGTGTGTGTGTGTGTAGTGTATGCACATTGAGCTAGAGGCTGCCTTCTGCATGAAGTGGCTTGTTTTCCTTGGGCTTCTGCACTGAAGTCTTGATTAA